GTTCCTTTCCCTAATTTGGTTATTGGTCAAATTATTAGGTTTATTTTTACCCTATCCTCGCCACCACATAAGAATTTTCTGTTTTTCCCTGTTTTATATCAAAGAGTACGTTCTTACTCATGAATGTACATCTGTTTCACTGATTTAATTTAATTAGACCTGAAGCCTTTTGCACAGTTTTTTTAATTACATTTTTTTTTAAACCATCATCTGATTAAAATTATTATGCATATAAAAACTTGCGCACTGAGTCTGAAGCTTTTTATTATACTCTTAATTGCGAAATTCACAATACGAAAGTCATCACACAATGAGGATGATTTTTTGGTTCTCTCACTATAAAGCATAGAAAAAGAAAAAGGAAATATTGAGTCAGAGGTGTCAAGTACCAGGAGAGTTTCATCTGCATAAAGGAACTGTCTGCCAACCTGCTGAGTGAGGTTGTATTTATCTTTAAACATGCGACAGTTTTGGACGACAATACGGACTTGGTGTGCTAAGGCCTTTAGACTACACAAAGTACACACAGTATAACTCCAACATCACAGCATTTCCTTTCAGCTCACTGTTTATTTTATGAAACTCAAAAGTGAACTGAGTTAAAAAAAAAAAAACATCAACACTAAACTGGGAGGAAACAATGAATCTAAATGGAATATCTGATTTTAGTTCAATCATGAGATCCCATCCTGAGTTCCTAAATACTACGACACAGATCACAGCTACTATCAAAGCATTACACTAGGTTTTAATTTCATCAGTCTCGCAATGTATGCAACACAAATCATCTTGAGTCTCCTCCATGTTTCATCTTCAGCCTTTTGCCTCTTTTAGGCAAGACTGCTTACATCAGGTTAATGTATCATTATTTTACAGAGCTTGAACTTTGCAAAAATGCCACACATGTGGATGTGGTTACATTTTCTGACTCTCCGCACAGATTTTTAAAGGAGCTGAATGTAAGAAAGTGAAAAAACCTTTACCTCCACAGAGCAAATATAAGATACAGTATGTGAAAGGAAATTAAAGTGCCAGAAAAGGAAGGCAATACAATATAGAAACATATCACATAGTATGGATTAACTACAATATGAATTAATAATTGTTATCCCAAGCAGTGTACAATTTACTACATATGGAAATCCCTAATTTAATTTGATGGGAGTTCATTGTTTGGCTAATGCAAAATAAACATTTCCTTTACTTTAATACAGTAGATAATCTACAACATAATAATTTTTACAACACACACACACTTCTTAATATGTCAATACAGCAGTGATAAAGAGTTCACCATTTTGTAAATTTGTTGCTAATCTTATTTCTTTTGCAAAGCTTCCTGATAGAGTTCAGCACTTCTTCTGTCTTTAAAGAGTAGATAATAGGATTGAGTAAAGCTGGTATGGTGTGTGTCAAAGTAGAGTTTAGGATCCTGGCATTAGGATGGATTTGGGAGTACAATACTGCTATGTTGGTGCCAACAATTGGTAGGAAGAAAATAGCCACAAGAATCAGATGAGAAGTGCAAGTTTTCAAAGCTTTAAGTCGTTCCTCTCCTGATGCAATCCTGCTCAGTGCTATGGAAATGCAAACATATGTAAATGCTATCAATACAAGAGGAATACAGAGGATTATAATAAAAGCAACATATGCCACTGTGAAATTTAAAGATGTGTCATTACAGGCCAGACGAAATATTGGTCCATGATCACAGAAGAAGCTGTTTACCACCAAAGATCTACAGAAGGAGAGGCGATCAATAAGCCCAACCATGCATCCTATTACACTCAGTAAAAAAGCCCATGCAGAAAGCAGCATTGCAGCAATAGCTGGTTTAGTCACAATACTATGGTACTTTAAAGGGAAGCAAATAGCTATAAATCTGTCATATGACATTGTGACAAGTGTCCATGACTGCACACTTCCAAAGAATAAAACAAAGAACATATAACTTAAGCAAGCCTCATAGACAATGTATCTCCTTTCAAACAAAAATGTGTCTAAGAGTTTTGGGATGAGAGCTGTGCTCCCACACAAATCTGTCAAAGCCAGGTTAAACACAATTATTGTATTAGAGTTATGGAGAGTCTTGCCAGGTAAATAACTGAGATAAGGAAGCCATTTCCAAGAACAGTCATGATATAGACAAAACACAAGAACACATAGAAATACTTAACATGTGGGATGTTGGAAAACCCACTGATATAGAATTTTGCAGGGCGAACAAATGTTGTATTAAATATTACAGCAGCTTTCTCTTCTGGACCCATTTTTCCCTAAATATAAAAAGAGAAAATCACAGAATAAATAATAAAGTATGGCACAGTGGACTGATATGTATCGTTGTAACTAAACTCACCTCATACAGTCTGAAGTGTGCAGTGCACTAAAGTGAGTTGTTCTGTGAAAGCCCTGACATTTATATGTTGACCCTTTTATCATGTGACAGCAGATTGCACATGGTTTTGAAGATGAATTTACTTTAATGTGTAACTGTCTCATAGTCTCATGTAAATGATAAGCTGATGCAATCGACTCAGTAAACTGTTGTAAGTTCCAGGATACTGAATTATCTATGAATGGTAGAATCCATCATTCAAATGTAGAAACAAGAAAAAAAATCACAACAAAGTTGTTGCTGAGCTGCAGTGGAACAATAGCAACACATTTTCAATTTTTCATACTAAACAGGCTGTAACTTTAGAAGATACCCATTTGATATGACAAACTCAAACTGCTGAAGCCTCATATTAGCTTCTTCTAAGTTTGGAATACATTTTTCCACAAAACAAAGACAGACAGGAAAAAACTTCCCTTGCAACAATAAGTACAATTATAAGGCACTAGATGGTGCAAGACTTGATAGAATACATAGAATTATAGACTACTCAATGTTTTGTTTTCAGTCTTTCAGGTCTCAAGCATATCTGATGGTCAAAATTCACCAAGCCCAATGAAGCTGAACATCATTTATTCAGCCTGACGTTGTGTTTATGTCAATTTCTTTCTTTGCTCTTTGAGCTTTGTCAAATTTTAGAGGAATATTAGGAGTAAAGCAAGCAAGACAAACACTGTGTGAAAAACAACACTCGTGGAAAATGTGGCAGAACCAACCTCAGCTGAAGTATTAAACATTCACCACATTGGACACCAGAATGAAAACACAATGCCAACAACAAATGAACAACATGAAACTGTTCATCTGCTACATGGAATAGATTTACATTCCACATCCAGTGGCCTCCATATTTCATGGCAGTCTAATATGACTTCAGAATTACGTTATATGATGCTGTATATATTTTGGTATTAACCTGAACTTTTATTATAAAGGTCCTGTGACAGCAGAGGAGTAACTCTATATCTGGAGAATTAATCTAACATACATGTTTTGATGGTTGGGAAAACCGGAGCACCTGGAGGAAACCAGGATGTTGATGCACCTTTGCTGTGTTTAATACTCGTGCTCGTTGCTGGCTTGATTACTTTCCAAAGTCTAAACTTATAGTTAAGATATACCAATCCATTTATTTCTTCAATAATTAAATTAAAACAAACAAATCCTTTACAATAAACAAAACAACAGCCGACTTTGGCACGGTTAAAAACCATATGCCTCGCTGTGCGCCACGCCTGTACCAATTAGTCTGCACCTTTAATAGACTTGTGGCTACCCACAGCGCCACCCACAGTTAACATAGAAAATAGCTCCAACACGCGACCTTTTAAATGTGAGGCGACATTGCTAGCTACCATGCCACCAAAAGATCTTCTGAAGTTTATCGCAAATTTTAGACTCATCATTCAGACTATCAACTATCAGAAGATAACAGCACGACCAATCAAACCACAGGAAAAGATCATGATCAACAACAAGAGAACCAACAACAAAAACTCTTAGATCACAATTACAGTTTATTCACTTTAGAAATTCATAACTACATTTGTATATGATTTTCATGTTTTCATTATTATTAGTACATTTTTTCAGAAAAATATAAGCTGTGTTGGCTGTTACAGGCTGCAGTGTCCTGTATGAGACAGCAATAGTATTGGCTACATTTTCAGTTTAAAAACCACTTTCACAATAACAATTTAAATACATAGATCACACAATGATATGCTTTCATAAAAATAAGTTCTCCCTCTACATAACAACATCCAATTCAACATGAAAGCAATGAAAAAGATAAATACTCACTCAAATGCTCATTATGATTTTGTTAAAAATGTATTAACCATTACAATGGTTGTTAACCATTAATTTGGCATGTTGGGTTTCTGCTGTTACTTTGAGAAATTTTGGGAGAATAATATAAAATAATAGTTTTGTAAATTAATTCTGCATTATATTGAGAATAATAATAGTTTTGTAAATTAATTCTGCATTATATTGAGAGCCATTTATCTTTTGTTATGAAGATGGCTATATATATATATATATATATATATATGTATACAGCATGTTCACAACATAATTCAGCTTCTGTCAAAGCACTATGGAGTCGTTCTATTACATGCAGACACTCAAGTCTTTTCATTGGGCTTATATATAATAAGAAAAACATGTTTATTGTGTAATTGTAGTATAGCTGGTTAATTTCAATTTCAATTGTTGTTTAAAAGTAATAATCATAATATACATATATATATATTCTGAATACAATTATTATTAAACAAAAGAACAACAAAGAAAAGAAAACTTACTTCACATTACCTCTGTTTGTATGGTGTTGCTGAGGCAAAATTTAAAATGACTGTTGATAACTAAATCTAGGATGTTACCATACAGTACAAAAGGCTAAATATGTTCTATAACTGTTCTTGTTTTGGCATCTTAAGGATTGCCTTCTGATTTTTAAATAACTTTTATTCTAAGATCTTTTTTATTTCTTTTGTGGTTCTGCATAAACATCAAATTTATTGGTTGGGTTCAACACTGGGGAGGTGCAGTAGTTCAAAAGGAATAAGTTATAGAATCCTGGCATTTGTGAATGTATTGTAGGCCCCAAATTGGATATTTACATATGATAGAGGGGAAATTAAATTGCCACTAATGAGAGGGTGGGCCGGGTTGCAGGGTTTTTTAAAGGCTTTTCACTTTCTTTTCCTGGCTGGGGTAGAAAATTTTTAACAATGCATAGCCAACGTTACCGGCGTAACTATTGCCATGATAAATATTAGTTTGGAGGCCAAAGGAATTAAGGATTTGATAACAAACCGCAATTACACGGCAGGGGTAACATTCATTGGCAGCCAAGGCCGGTTACATTGGGGCCGTAGGTTCACATAATAAGGCTGGTTTAATAACACAGGACTTACAGGAAGGGAAGTTCTTTCGTAAGAAGGCCAAATTTTGCAATTAAGTACAGACAATAATGACAAAGAAACCCAGGAAGGAAGGCAATCAGAGACAGGCATGAACCTGGGGTTGGTTCACCTTCACTTTGATAATGCAGGGTTTGGGGGAAGATGTAGGCTATTGCAGTTCTGCCATATGGAGAGTTGCACCAGATTTAAATTTGACTTAGCATTTGAAGGGCAGGTTTTGAAGCAGAAAAAAAAGGAACGGTCAAGCAAGTTTCCGTATATAGCTGATGTTTAAGTTGATGGGTTAAACAGAAAGATGTCAAGAAGCTTTGGCACCAGAGCAGTGTTACCAACAGCGTCCAGCAAATTTTGCTAAATTGTGAAACGTGCAATATATTTTGGAGTTCTCAGATTATGATCCAAGCATATTACAGTTTCATCACAAATTGTTGTTTCCCAGCACTTGAACAATGTAAATAGAAAAGAGAAAGACATAGTAATAACTGATATTAAGGTTATGGCCAATAAAACCAAGGCTTATTTAT